TGTTAGTATTGTGTTTAGGATTTTTGCATCTTTATTTATCAAACATTGGTATAAATTTGTCTTTTTTTGTGTGTGTTTTCCCTGCCAGGTTTTGGTATCAGGGTAATGTTGGCCTTATAAAATGAATTGGGATGTATTGACTCTTTTTACATTTTTTGGAAGAGTTTGAGCAGGATAGATATTAAATCTTCTTTGACTATTTGGTAGAACGCATTAGTTAAACCATCTGGTTCTAGACTTTTACTTTTTGGAAGGTGTTTAGTGACTGTTTCAATTTTCTTACTGTTGGTCAGTTTATTTAGATTTTCCAGTTCTTCATGATTCAGTCTAGCAAAGTTATATTTCTAGTAACTTCTCCATTTCTTCCAGGTTATTGAATTTGGTGATGTATTTCCTTTCATACCATTCTTCAATAGTCTTTTGTATTTCTGTGGTGTCCAGTGTAACTTCTCTTTCATTTCTGATTTTGGTGTGTGTGTTCTTTTTTGTTTTGTTTTGTGTTTTAGTCTCTCTCTCTCTCTCTCTCTCTCTCTCTCTCTCTCTCTCTCGTCTTTTCTCTTTCTTTTTCTTAGTGAGTCCAAAGAACCAACATTTTGTTGCATTACATTTTTCTATTGTCTTTTTTAAAAAATTAATACTGCTCTAATTTTTCTTATTCCCTTCTTTTACTAACTTTGGCCTTTGCTTGTTCTTTTTCTTGTCTGATTGCTGTAACTAGAGCTTTCAGTACTAAGCGTTGGGGTCCAGCCCCAGCGGGTCCAGGGGTCCCCAAAGGTGTGGACGGTGTTGGCGAAGAAGGAATGACATGGAGACAGGGTTCGGTTCATCACCATAGCGAGGTCCTCCCTCCAGGATCTCCAGCCAAGTTCTGTCCAAGATCTCCAGCCAAGTTCTGTGTACAGGTTCTCTTGCTAGGTTCTCCATCTAGCTTCTCCAGGTTCTCCAGCCAGGTTTGATTGCCAGGTTCTGTAGCAAGGTTCTCTAGCCAGGTTCTAGCCAGGTTCTCCTGCCATGTTCTGTCTAGGTTCTCCAGGCAAGTTCTGTAGCAAGGTTCTGGCCAGGGTCTCCAGCCAAGTCCTGTCTCTAGGTTCTGTCTAGGATCTCCAGCCAAGTCCTGTCTCTAGGTTCTGTTTTCTGTTGTCTTGTTACATCTGTATTTATATCAGTTGATTCCAATACTATCAATCTCTATTCCAAAGGTTAGGGCGTTTCTTATCTCCATTCCAGGGAGTAAAGATTATGTAGCTTAAGTGTGATTGTTTGTAGTTAAAGTGATTAACTACCCGCCTGGCATTTAGTTAAGGGGTTTTATCCCCTCCCTAACTTCAGAGAAAAATCCCTACCTGGGGAAACAACCTTTCTCGGAGAGGTGACCTTGGTTAAAACACATAGCACCAAGAAGGTGAGCAAACATATTAAGAACAGGATGCCATATATGCCAGGTCCCTTGAAATAGCAAGGATGGACCGGCTCCCGGCAACTAAGTTGAAAAAGAATGGTGAAAGTGGATATTCTGTCTTGTCCCTGATCCTAAGGGAAATGCTTTTTGTTTTTCTCTGCTGAGTATGATATTATCTGTGGGTTTGTCATATATGGTCTTCATTATGTTGAAGTCTGTTCCCTCTATTCCCACTGTACTGAGAGGTGTTTGGGGTTTTTTAAAAATCATAAGTGGGTGCTGAAATTTGTCAATTTTTTTCTGCAACAGGATTCTTATCCTTTACTTTATTTATGTGGTGTATCACATTCATTGATTTACAGATATTGTGTCAACTTTGCAACCCAGTAATAAATCCCACTTGTTCATGTTGTATAATCTTTCTGTAATGCTGAATTCAGTTTGCAAATATTTTTGAGGACTTTTGCATCTATGTTCATAGGAATATTGAACTATAATTTTCTATCCTTGTAATGTCTCTATCTGGTTTTGGAATTAGGATAATACTGGTTTTGTAAAATGAACTTGAAAGTCATCTCTCCTCTTGAAATTTTTGTAATAGTTTAAGAAGGATATATGTTAGTTCTTCTTTGAATGTTTGGTACAATTCGCCTGTGAACTATCCAGTGCAGGACTTTTTGCTGGGAGTATTTTGATTTCTGCTTCAATTTTTTGTTGTTGTTTTAAATCCTCGTCTGAGAATATTTTCCCATTGATTTTTAGAGAGAGTAGAAGGGAGGGGAGAGACACAGAGAAGGAAACATCTATGTGAGAGACACATCAATTTTTTACCTCCCACAAGAGCTCTGACCATGGTCAGGGACCCAGCCTGCAATTGAAGTACAAGTCCTTTGACTCGAACCCGGGACCCTTCAGTTCACAGGCTGACACTCTATCCATTGAGCCAAACCAGGTGAAGCGATTGCTGCTCAATTTTGTTGGTTTTAATTTGTCTGTTCATATTTTCTGTCTCTTTTTTTATTCTGTTTTGAAAGATTGTATGGTATGTTTTGGGGAATTTATTTCTTCCTTATTATCTAATTTTTTGGCATATAGTTGTTTGGATGAACACCAATTTTCAAAAGGGCAATTCAATGCTGCTTACTTGGAAAGGGATTTGTTCTAATTGTTGATTCACCAATCATGCCTTTTAAAAAAGAGTTTAAGCCAAAACAGAAGAATATTCACTTTGTCTAAAAGTATATGATTTGATATTCAATCAATACTAGTTATTATCTTCCCCATCGCTAGTTTTGCATTAGTCCCTGGCCAGACTAAAATATTATAAAATTGTTTGCACATTTGACCTGAACCTGTCCACATTTCAGCTTTTGCTCCAATTTGCCATTCTCCGTATCAATTTTTGTTTTATTTTATTTGGTGTCTTGCTCCTTTATGACTTTGCTACTACCATTCAAAGGTTTGCCAGTAGCAATATAGAAATGTATATGGAACAGAGGAATGGAAAAAAAGCAAAGATAATGGAACACAGGGTTGCCAAAGGTTAAGACAATTATGTGATTAGGAGAGCCTATATTGGAGATGATCAAGGAAGCAAAGAGGTCTTTAACTTGATTTTTCTGTGTATAGCTACGGAGAATGTTTTCTTTTTCCTGGAACAACAAGTGACTCAATCTGTGGGTTGTACTTTTTTATTTTTGAGGGGAACTGGAAACAGATTGCGATATTTTATAATCACTTCTTCTTCTCCCTTTATGAATGACCTGTTGCATCTCAAACCAACTTGGGGATAATTTTCTGGGTTTTTAAATCTGTCCTCAGTGTCTATTTCATGATTAGCCATAACTATCTACTTAAAAAGCTTGTTGAGTTTAATATTCATTTATCCATAGTAGATTTTTCTTGTATTCAAGATTCTCATTTGAGAATGTGGAGGTATTTTTGATGTTGATAGGTATTCCAGAGACTTTATCTTAAGAAGGAGGGATCCTCAAGCCCTTGAGAAATGACAAGGAATTCATGAAGCCTGCCTCTGATGTTATACTACATCAAGCTTTCCCTTACCTAATCAGAGAGATTATAAGATACTAGAGGCCTGGTACACGAAATTTGGGGGGGGGGGCAGGGGGGGGATGAGGTGTCCCCCAGCCTGGCTTGCATCCTCTTGCAATCTGGGACCCTTGGGGGAAGTTAGGCCTAAACCAGCAGTCGGACATCCCTCTCACAATCCGGGATGCTGCATGCACCAGTGACCATACTTTTCATATAGGTGAAAGGCATCTTGCTGTTGTATGGGCAGCTACATTTTTTTGCCCTGATTATAAAAAGTAGTACATAACATGATCCATCTCAGGTAGTAGTACCACTTCTCCATCTTATGGGTGGAAAACCTGAAGCAGAGAGAAGTTACATAATTGGCTTTGTCACACAGTTATAAGTGTCAGAATCAGGGCTGAACACAAAATGTTCAAGCCAGAGTTCATGCATGTCATTGCTGCATCATTCTGTTTTTTTCATGTTAGAGTAGCCTTGCCAGGTTTTAATTTTTAAATCTAAGAGACTGTTCCCAATATATAGGGCAAGGTCCCTAGGCCTGGCCAGTGATCAAGGCCATCTGTGGGGTGACTGGCAGGTGGGGCGATCAGGAGCCCCTCCTGGCACTTGCCTTGGCTGGGGGCCTGGCACCACCCGTCTGTCCCCTGGTAGTCAGTGCATGTCATAGAGACCAGTCGTTCTGCTGGTCGTTCTGCCGTTTGGTCTATTTGCATATTAGGGTTTTATTATATAGGATTACTCTAGCCCTGGCTGAGTTGGTTAGAGCATTGTCCCAATATGCCAAAGTTGTGGTTTCGATTCCCAGTCAGGACACATACAAGAATCAACCAATGAATGCATAAGTAAGTGGAACAACAAATTGATCCCTCCCTCTCTCTTTCTCTCTCTGTCCCTCATTCCCTCTCTCTCTCAAATCAATAAATGAAAAGACATTACTAATCTTTGCTCAGTACCAGTCTTGATTCATTAAGAATGTTTAATTACTTTTGTAGATAAATTCCAGAACCTTCTATTTTACAATCACATTCCTGAACAATGTCCATGGATCTTTAAGTAAAAATATTAACATATTTTTAAGCCATATTATTCAATCAGACTTTTGCTCACTTCCTAGGACACTGTTCAACACATGGATTAAGCCTTACATAAAATCCAATGTAAAGATTGGCTAGGGAGCACTTAAATTAATTAGGCATACACCTAATTAATTTAATACATTTCTTTCAGGGTATATAAAATTTTCTATTTTGCATGCCAGAATAAATAGGAATCGGGGAGAAATTTCATGTCAGAAACTGAACAAGTGATCTCAACATTCGTGTCAAAGTTTTCATGAGCTGTTTTAGATGTGTTTCTCAATTTCCTCTTATTTTTCATGATATTTTAAAATCACTGGAAACTTTAGTCTAAACTAAAAGACTGAAGTTTATTTAGTCATTTGGTTATTTATTCTGATGGAGTTTCTTTTTCTTTTTTTTTTTTTAGTCTAAACCACAACTTCTTCTTTTGAGGCATACCTTGTACTGGAAGTCTCTTAGCCTCATCAGAGTGTTTAGTTGTTTGTCTCATCTCTGACCTATTTGAATAAAGCCAAAGCTCTGGGTAACATTTTCAGAGAAAAAGACACACAAGAGGCTCCTGGGCCTTCTGAACACAGGGAGTCCACATGATGGTGCTACAAGGGCAACCTCAAGGTAGAGGTGAGCATTCCTTCTCTTAATTCCAGAGAGAAAGAAGTATATGAGATGATGAGTTATCTGGAGAGAAGAGATAGACAATGGACAGATTGGAGGGATATAGATTGGACTACCATAGCAATCAAGAGAAGTTAGAACAAAGACTAATTCCTCAGAGCCAGATGTACTTGTCAGAATGAGTAAACAAATATTAATACAGTGGTATGAGAAGGAGGAGACAAAAGTGATGGATTAAGAAAGATGGGGAATCCATGGTGAATATAATATTTAAGAAGAAAGGAAAGAAAAGTAGAAAATACAGTTGATTGAGGATGACTTTTTCCTCAATTGTTTAGGACTTCAGAGCTACTACCTGGTTATTTATTCTGAGAGAGTTTCTTTATTTAAACATTTTATTGAATTTATTGGGTTGACATTGGTTAATAAAATTATGTCAGTTTCAGGTATACAATTCTACAATACATCATCTGTATATTATATTGTGTGTTTACCACCCAAAGTTAAGTCTCCTTCCATCACCATCTGAGGGAGTTTTTAAGCTCTCTCCTTCTTTTAGGTTTTTAACTAATATGAGATTCTTCACCTAGTTTCTTCATTGTTCTAAGTTTCTTAGGAACTCTGGCTTCTTGGCTCCATGGTAACTGCATTTGTCTTGCCTCTCTGACAGAAAGGCCAGTATGGTGGTCCCCCGTGAAGATCTGGTCTGTTGCTGTGGTTTCCATAGCATTCCTCAGTGCTTGTTTCATCGTGAGTTGTGTGGGTAAGTTCTTCACTGAGGTGACACTCTTGTGATTTCTTTCCCTGTCAAGTTCTATACACTATTAATATGTCAACTGTTACTTGGAAAGCAATGCTTTTGTTGATTTCCCCTCCTCCTCTTCCTCTTTCTCCTCCTTTCCCTCCCTCTCTTTTCTCCCTTTTCTTCATAGTTTGATAACTGATTCTGCTTCCAGATATATTTCACCTGGTTTTATTAGTATATTCTCAATCATGACCTCTCATATGGATGGATGTTAATTGTAGTCAAAGACATCATTTTTCAGTACATGGTTCACTAGTGATCACATATTCTCTACTCACAAAAGCCCACTATTGAGAATGCAACTATAATTGCTTTTATAATCATAATCCTTTAGAATATCTTCTTTGATTTTCTTGTGAGAGTCTTTTCCAATATAAGGAGAATAAATATTCAAATGAAATATTGAGGATGTAAGGGAATAAAATATTTCTTTTCTGTTCCATTTGCTTCCAAATAAATATTTCAAGTACATTTTGTGAGAAAGCTTCAACACTTTGTTCTCTCTAATCTACAATTTTGTTCTCCATTCTCTGCTAAGGCGATTAAAAATAGTTATAAAATAGTCTGGAAGGAAGTGAAAGTGATTTCATATGCCAGATGGGCCATGTTTGATGTTCCCTCAAGATACAAGTAAATGTCTTGGTTTTACTAAAACACAAATACAAATAATTATCAAAAAGTTAGAATCTGTTTCATTTTTCATGGTCAAGTGCAAGAGGAAGAGCGTTTAAGAATAGTTATTTTATTAATCAAGAGGAAGCAGATATTAAGGACCCCAAGGCATAAGCTAGGAGAATGGTGGGAAAGTAGTGAGCTTTAGTAGTAGAAGGCTAACACAGAAATGAGTGAAGAATCAATTCAGGACCCAAGAGAGAACAGGTCTTTCTCCCTGTGCACACCCTTGAACATAAAAGGTAATGTTTATTTGAGACATTTAAAATGTTTCTAAATGTTTAAAGGCTCCCATTGGTTTCTATTTACCTCATATGTTTATCTGTAGCTACGTTATAACAGTCAGAACTTTTAGAAAATGTAAAAATAATCTGCATTCTTGCTTCATGATTATGAAAATTAAGAAGAAGCAGTCAGTCAATATATCAATGGATAGGTATGGATTATTTTTGACAGTCTCTATTCTAGGTGTTTGCGATTAATATATGTAGAAAGAGAATCTCTGTCCTAGAATATAGAACTTAAATTTCAATGGGGAAAGAGCAACAACAAAAAAGTACAGGCATATACACAAACAAATGAATAGAGGCAAGGAGTAATTGAACACAGTCTTTATTGAGTTTGAATAGAGAGAAGGAAATGGTTACAGTTGGAGGAAAGCCTGCTTGGCACAGATTTATAGAGCATAAGGTTTTGTAGCAAAAGAATCAATGGATACTAATCCTCCTTCTTCCTCCACAGCGACTTATTATATTACATATACAAACACTGACAGAAGGCTGTCTGAATTACATACATATCATCCAAGTCTAACCTGCTTCAATGAAGGGACAAGGGTGACAGGTAAGGTGTTGGAATTCTTAACCAGACTTTCTCTTTTCTCAGAGAAAGAGAGGTCAGGGGTGAGCTAAAGATTGGTTTATTCTATTTTTAAAAAATGGATATCTCACCCTAGTTGGTTTGGCTCAGTGGATAGAGAGTTGGCCTGTAGACTGAAATGTCCCGGTTCAGTTCAGGTCAAGGGCATGTACCTCTGTTGCTGGTTCCTCCCTGGCCCGAGCCCTGGTTGGGGCACGTGCAGGAGGTAACTAATTGATGTTTCTATCCCTTTTTCTCCTTCCCCCTTCCTCTCTGAAATCAATAAAAAAAAAATTTTTTTAAAGGATATCTCTAAACTTACATGCTCCTATCAGGTTCTAGATTTGCCCTTGTCCAGACTTCTTGAGATCAATAAGTGTTATTAACATACACCATGCAATTTGCTCAAGCCAACCCTGGAAATTCTTCATAAAAGTTCTGGTTTAAAATTATCCTTACCCTTATCATTTTGATAAAATTTATTTTTGTTATCTAAGGTTCCTAGTTAATAACACCCATCTTAATTCCAAGTGTCAGCTTTATTACTGCTCAATTTGGTTGGTGAAACATGGCTCAGGAAGAGGTTGTCCTCACTTTAAAATGTGGTGCTGGCACCTTCATATGTTAAGAGAGTTGAATTCAAAATCACGGTCTGCCTTGCACTATGTCTAGTGAGAAATGCCAGAGAAAGGCATAATGCATGTTCGTGGTGGTTTTTATGGCCTTATTCCTTCCAAGTGAAGAAATACCAATAGTATGCACTCCTTTGCCTTTATGGAAAAATCTCTGAGAACTAAAGAGAGGACTAAAGTTTCTTTCTAATTTTATGAGATGTTGGAATTTTTCCTTTTTTAAATATTTGCTAGCAATATGGTACATGGGGTGGTGAGTAATAGTTTTCTTTACTCTCTCACGTAGGCTTTTCTTGTCCCATTGAGAGTTTTTTGTTTTTGTTTTTTGTCAATTGTGGAGCTGGCACTTCTGGGGAGGAAAACATAATTGCATCAATATTATTTTCCTCTCAACAACTTGAGGCACTCCTGTATCAACAACTGGAGTTTTAAAGACTACCTCCTGGAAGCAGCAATGGGTACTTTAGCCTTTGCTTTCAGAATGCTCTGAAATGAATGAGACAAAGATGGGTGTTAATTAAATTAACCCCACATCCATCTGGCATAAGAAACTGCAAATTTACTCCCTGTTATAGCCTTTCAAGCTGTTTCATACAAATGAGTCAAGTTACAGATAAGCTTATATGATAGAATTATCTTATATGCTACCATGTCAGCAAATAAAAGTGCTCAGATTTTAAGAACATCCTTTCACATTATTATTACAATAAAAAGTTAAAATTCCAAACAAAAATTTTCCATATTCATTAAAGGTAAAAACTAATCGAGATCCACATGTATCTTTTCCTATTTGTTTTCCACTCAGCCCCAGTCTGAGTGCTGGGATATGTAGAAGCATGCCTGTCAAAACCCCAGAAATATATTGAAAAACTATGTATCCCCTTATTTAATCTGATATCTAATTTTTTTATCATGTATTAAAAGCAAAAGCTATGATTTCTGGAACTTTGTAAATACCAACATTTAAAAATAAAACTGTTAAACCTGTTTTTAAAATGTATCTTTGGTGTCTAGATACCATTACAAATTGCTACCCCCACTCCCATCATGAATATTAGAAAAGAAGAAATGCATGTATTATTTGACAGTCCTGGGTATTACATCATTCTTTCCCCCCACCCCCCCTTAGACTAACATTTACACAGCACTTCCCTGTCTGCCAAGATATGTAAATAAGAACATGTCTAATAGTTTTATTTCCTATGGAACATTAAGCTTGTTATAAAACTTCTTCTGGATGGATTTATTATAATTATCATCAGAATATATATTCAAAACATTACATACTTATTATATATTTTTATAAATTATTACTGATAAAATAAAACTATTAGAAGCCCATCTATAATAATAAAAGTGTAATATGCTACTTAGACCAGACAGCCAAATGACCTTCCGGATGTAATTCTGGACGTCCTTCTGGACGACCTTCTGGATGAAGCTGAGACAGCGGGGGCCAAAGCAGAGGCGGTTAGGGGTGATCAGGCAAGCAGGTGAGCAGTTAGGGTGATTAGGCAAACAGGTGACCAGTTAGGGGAGATCAAGCAGGCAGGCGAGTGGTTAAGGGTGATCAGGCAGGCAGGTAGAGTGGTTAGGGGCGATAAGGCACGAATTTTGTGCACCAGGCCACTCGTTCCATATAATAAAGAGGTAATATGCAAATACACAAAAATGGATAAAGGACTTAAATGTAAGATGGGAAACCATAAAAATACTAGAGGAATCCAAAGGCAACAAAATCTCAGACATATGCTGAAGCAATTTCTTCACTGATACAGCTCCTAGAGCATTGGAAACTAAAGAGAAAATAAACAAATGGGACTACATCAAAATAAAAAGCTTCTGCACAGCAAAAGAAACCATCAACAAAACAACAAGAAAGCCCACTGCATGGGAGAACATATTTGCCAATGTTATCACCAATAAGGGTTTAATCTCCAACATTTATAGGGAACTCATACAACTTAACAAAAGGAAGATAAACAATCCAATCAAAAAATGGGCAAAGGACCTAAATTGACACTTTTCAAAAGAGGACATTCAGAAAGCCAAGAGACATATGAAAACATGCTCAAAGTCACTAATCATCTGAGAGATGCAAATCAAAACAACAATGAGGTACCATCTCACACCTGTCAGACTGGCTATCATCAACAAATCAACAAACGACTAGTGCTGGAGAGGATGTGGAAGAAAAAAGGACCCTCGTGCACTGCTGGTGGGAATGCAGACTGGTGCAGCCACTATGGAAGACAGTATGGAGTTTCCTCAAAAAGTTAAAAATGGAACTCCCATTTGACCCAGTGATCCCACTTCTAGGAATATATCCCAAGGAAGCAGAAACACCAATCAGAAAGGATATATGCATCCATATGTTCATAGCAGCACAATTTACCATAGCCAAGATCTGGAAACAGCCTAAATGCCCATCAGCAGATGAGTGGATTAGAAAACTGTGGTACGTCTACACGATGGAATACTATGCTGCTGTAAAAAAGAAGGAATTCTTACCATTTGCAACAGCATGGATGGACCTGGAGAGCATTATGCTAAGTGAAATAAGCCAGTCAATGAAAGAAAACTATCACAAGATCTCATTCATTTATGGATAATAAAGACCATTATAAACTGATGAACAAAAATAGATACAGAGGCAGAGCAGCCTTGAACAGACTGTCAAACTACAGTGGGAAGGCCGGGGAGGGTTGGGACGGAAATGGGGGGTGGTTTAAGAGATCAACCGAAGGACTTGTATGCATGCATATAAGCATAACCAATGGACACAAGACACTGGGGGGTAGTGGAGGCCGGGGGAAGGTCAAGGGGGGGAAAAAGGAGACATATCTAATACTCTTTGTAATACCTTAAGCAATAAAACAAAATTAAAAAAAGGAGGTAATACGCAAATTGACCATCACAATCTCACAAAGATGGCTGCCTATGACCAAGTCGGCAGGGGGATTAGTGAGGTGGCAACCAAACAACCAAGCAGCAGGCTGCGTGGGGCAACCAGGCCAGCTGGGGGGGGGGGCAGTTAGGGGCGACCAGGTCAGCAGGGGGGTGGCACAGAATGAAGGAAGGTCCAGCCGGCAACTGGCAGCCAGGAAAGGGAGGAGGCCCTGGCCAGCACCCAGAAGGCCCTGATTGGCCCTGATCGCCAGCCAGGCCTAAGAACCCTACCCATGCATGAATTTCATGCACCAGGCCTCTAGTATTTTAAGGAGACACATGGACTTTAAAAAATGCAATCAGATATACTTACTATTGAATAATATTACTACTAGAGTGAGATAGAATTCAACATCAACTCCTTTCTTATTTTTCACTTTAGTGACACAATATGATAAATCTTGCTTATCTAAATAATTTAATAGAATAGAAAGTGTTCGGTTAGAATGGCACCCAATTTTTTAGTTTTTTGCTAAAAACATAGTGATCTAGTATCAAAAATTATTTATAATAATCTGTTCACGAGAATTTGATTAGGTAATTTTTCAATGTTGTTAAATATAAAGAATAATAAATAGAATAATTTACAAAAGGTTTGTTTTCTTCTTAGTCAATAGTGATTCACTTTCTCAATTTCTGAGAATTACACCAAAAAGAAGATTTTATAAGTTTTATCAAATGACTATTAAGTATACTTCTTTTTATAATTACAAAGCAAAATTGGAAAAATAAAACATTATTAATGCCCATATATCTTTTTGACAAATGCTTCCTTTCATCACAGCTTTAAATAGTTTTATCAACCTTGGAGCTGGAGATTTAGCATATTTAACTTATGTAAAATGCTTCCATCATAACTTAACTGACAAAGCCAATTCCCACCATCAAAACAGTCCACCTAATTAGACATACTGTTAATACATACTTTAAGGAGTATTATGAAAAACAATCTATATATATAAAAGCCTAAGTGACCGTTAACAATGGAACTACCGGTTACTATGATGTGCACTGACCATCAGAAGGAAGACACTCAATGCAGGAGGAGCCTGCCAGCCAACCTCCCAGTCCCTCCCACCGGCTGGCAGGCCCCTGGGCTGGGCTGGAGAACCAGGGGTGGGTGGCAGCGGATGTGGCCCCTTTCCCAGGGGGGGGCCGAGGGCCGGCTCCCTCCTTGGGGCCAGCAGCCAACCTCCTGGGTCCCTCTCTCCTTCCCTCCCCCCAGCTGGCAGACTCCTATTGGCCCACTGCCCACCTGCTGCGGTGGCTGTTGGCCCCTCCCCCCCGGCCAGCAGGTCCTGATCACTCAATCAGGGCTGGGCCCTAGGCTGGGACGGGGAACTGGGGGTTGGTGGTGGCAGACACGGGCAGCGAGGGAAGGAGGAGGCGGGGAGGCAGGGAACCTGATTGGCTCTGATCGCTGTCCAGGCCTAGGGACCCCACCCATGCACTAATTTCGTGCACCGGGCCTTTAGTATTTAATAATGAACAGAAAGCATAATTAAGATAAATTTCCAAAAGTGGCTAATAGTAAAATGATATAGATATGGTCTGTTTATTTTATTCATATTATAATATTATAAAAGGAAAAATAATTCTATAGATTGTTTCTCATCATTTAATATATAAATTTTAATGCAATAACATTTAAAAGGAATAACATCGAGCTATATATAACAACATGAATGAATCTTAGCAATGTGGAATAAAAAAATGAAACCAAGAAGACCACATATATTATACTTTTTAAAAGATTTAAAATTCAACAAATCAAAACAACCTATTATTTAGGTATACATATATATGTGCTAAAATTGTATATAAACATGTAAATATACATATATGATCAAAACATGTCAGTGGATCTGTATTGGTTAGCTAGAAATGTTTAATTCTAGGATAATGGCAAATTGGTGTTTCTAAGGGGAAAGGAGAGAGAAGTGATAATTTTTTAAACTCTTATAAGTTTGATGCTGTGTAAAAATTAGTAATAGGTAATATTTATGAGCAATTATTCCATGTTAAGCATCTTTTAAAGTGCTTTGCACATATTATGTGATTAAGTTTCCCTTTGGGTTTGGTACTGTTTTTATTTACACTTTAAAGACAAAATAACTAAAGCTCAAGGAGGTTATGTAATTTGCCCAAAAGCATACATAATAAATGGTGGAGTCAGAATTCGAATAAGGCATAATTCTAATTTTCATAATCACCCTGTGAATAATTATCATTTCCATTTTAAAAACTTGAGACTTGAGACTTGTGGCTTGCCCAAGATTATTAAGTAGAATTGGCATTTGAGATACACCTTTATTAGTAATTTGTAACCCTGATAGAACTTGGTGCATCTAATGTATAAGGGATATAAAGAACAGAAAAAATTTTATAGTGATTTTTTGGCAAAAATTCCAGATAAATTCTGCAGGTAAACCTTGGTAAATATTGAGGACTTAATGTGAAAAAATGTTTATTTAAAAGCAGTCCTATGGCCCCAAATTATATAATTTAGGGAACAATAAATACATGACTTAAGAAGCCCATCTCTAGAAAACAACCTCAGATTTCACATATATGGAATTTACCTCTTTGATCTTATTTGTCTCATCTTGCACTCACTCTTCTATTTCATTCAACATAGAAAAAGTCTGGGGATGTTGCCCAAGTACTTGGAAATCTTTTGGTTCCAGCTGCTACTTCATTTCTAAAGAAGGTAATTTTTGGTCTAAGAGTCAGCAGAACTGTGTTCGGATGGGGGCTCATTTGGTGGTACTCAACACAAAAGCAGAGCAGGTACTTTTGTTTTCTTTATTTGTCATTTTCATTTAAATAAAGTAAATTTAATTAAAAATAAAATTTATCATCTTAGCTGTTTTTAAGTGTACAGTTCAATAGTTAACTATATTAACATTGTTGTAAAAAGATCTCTACAATTCTAGGAATATATCCTAAAAAACTTGAAACACCAATCAGAACGAATTTGTGCACCTTTATGTTCATAGAAGTGCAATTTACAATAGCTAAGATCTGAAACAGCCCAAGTGCCCATCAGTAGATGAGTGGATAAAAAAAGCTGTGTACATTTACATGGTGTACATATATACCATGGAATACTATGCAGCTGTAAAAAAGAAGGATCTCTTACCCTTTGAGACAGGATGGAGGGACCTGGAGAGTATTATGCCAAATGAAATAAGCCAGTCAGAGAAAGACAAATATCACACGATCTTACTTATAAATGGAATCTAATGAACAAAATAAACTGACAAAGAAAATAGATCTAGAAATAAGGAAGCATGCAACAGACTGATGATTCTCAGAGGGGAGGAAGGGGAGCGGGAGAGATTAACCAAAGAATTTATATGCATATATGCATAACCCATGGACACACACAGTAGTGCTGGTGAAGGCCTGGGGAGGAGCTGAGGGTGGGGAGGAGGGGAGTCAATGGGAAAAAAAGGGGGACATCTGTAATACTTTCAATAATAAAGATAGATTTAAAAAACTTAATTCAAAATTAATTGCACCTTATCTCAACCAGAAAACAGTTCTGATAGATTAAGAAGGTGATACAGAGGTCCAGATGGAAAAAATGAGACTAATAGTTTTTTTTTAAGAAATCATCACTACTGTTATAAATATAATAAGCACTCCTTTATGTTTAACTTTTAAAAGTAATTAACTACTAGAGAATTACTACTTAGAAGAGAAGAGAAACAAATTTGAATTTTGATAACTCAAATGCAATTTCATTGATAAACAATGAGAAATAAGCTAGAATACATCTGAACATATACAATTTTAAAAATGGTTGGAAGTGCAAAAATTGACATACATTTTAAAAGAATTCTGCCACTTGGTGAAGAAAAAAAAATTGTGATGGAAACTCATGAGTTATAACTCCCTCCTTCTTGTAATGATGTTGGTGTTTTGGGTCTGTTTTCTTGTCCAATGAGCTGTCTTGACACTGTTCCTCACAGCTGGCATTTTATTTTCTCTTTAAATCTCTAAAGAACTCTTACTCTATTCAATTTGGGAATTTCAGTCTATGGTTTCTTTTTCTTTATGCAGAATTTCATTGTTCAGCAGCTGAATGAATCATTTTCTTATTTTCTGGGACTCTCAGATCCACAAGGGAATGGCAATTGGCAATGGATTGATCAGACACCTTACACGGAAAATGTCAGGTGAGTAGAGACTCACATTAATGAACCATGGGCTTTGTTTACATAAAAATGTAGGGCAATTTTGTTGGCAGTGACTGTTAATGCTAATACTGATAATTATATTGATGATAACAGATTCTAACAATTATTAAGCTCTTACATGCACAATTATTAAATGCATGTATTGTCACACTTAAACTTTATGAAAACTTTTTTAGAACTCATTTTACTGATGAAAAGTGAATTAACTTCCCTGGAGTCAATAAGAAGTAAGATGAGAAACAGGGCCTCAACTCCATGTGTGACTCCAAAGATGGTTCTCTTATTCATTACAATTTGCTACCTCTAAAGTTGTGTAGACACTTCAATTACACTTTATTTCAATTAATAAGACTTAAAAAATACAAGTGTGAGAACTGTGTTCAATTCTAGGAGGATAATTATATAATAATACTATTTATTTGTGGCTTTGAAATAAATCCAGAATTTAATAATACATTATTGCATGCGATTTTCACATACTTTTATAAGCTATTTGGGGATCTGCCTATGATTCCTATTTTTATAGGTGAAAAATCAAATACCTGAAGAGAATAAATTATTTGCTTAAGATCAAAATGGGTCAGGAGGAAACCATGTCTCTTAATTCCAAAAACAAAGTCCTACCCTCCCACCCTCATCCAAACCTTGTCACCCTTACTACAGATTATATTCCTTGTAGGCAGGGTAACTTCTTATGACCAGACTCAAGCTCCATGAGAATACAGGTATTTAGGAAGGTGATAAGAGTACACAAATTAAGGAGGCAACCTCTTTATTATGCTACCAAGACACGAATTGTTTAACAACCCAGATCAGGATAAGGGCTCTTTACAGAGAAAAAAGTGAGGATCAGATTTTAGGGACAAGGTCAAGTTTACTCTGTTACATAAAAATTTGCCAGGGGAATGTTAGAGGAGCAATTATAAAAGTGTTTGTTTACACTTGGGGGTTTTGAGGAGGGCAGTATGAGGAGAGCAATCATTGGAGTGTTCTTTCACCCTGAACCCCATTCTCTTCAAATCCCAACTCTATATACTTTCTAATTAATCACTGTGCATTCACTGACGTGTTTTTATCCTTTGTTTCTCTTTAGATTATGGCACCAGGGTGAGCCCAATTTCTCTGCAGAGGAATGTGCTTCAATAGTTTTCTGGAATCCTGGAGGATGGGCCTGGAATGATGTTTTCTGTGATTCTAAAAGAAATTCAATATGTGAGATGAAGAAGGTTTATCTATGAGTGGAACTTTATTCATTGTCACATTTAAAATGGAGACCTATCTTAAAATGATAATTTCCTCTTATAATTTATGTGTAATTCTTATCATAGAGGTTTATGGAAATATCCAGATGCCTTACTTCTTTGAGTCATCCCTCTTATAGTTTCTTCTTTTCCACTAATAATAGGGTGAACCCTTCCGTTTTTAAAAATTTGTTATGCATTCTTTACTTTTTTCATACTTCTTTTCACCCACATTCCTTGGGCAAGAGATGGTATTATTTTGTCTATCCGAAGACTCATAATGAGGTAACTATTGAAAATTAAGAAGGACTTTCCTCAAAACATAGAGAAATTCTTTGGGTCAAAATAGTAACTGTGACTGCCATCATGTGGAAGCCTGGCAGGAGCTGAAGGGTCTACTTCCTCGATGTCTCACTCACATGGCTGGCAACTTGGTACTGGTTTTTGTGAGAAGGCCTCCCATCCTCACCATAGAGAACTCTCCGTAGGGTTTCTTGAGTGTTCTCACGAGATGATGATTGGCTTTCCCCAGAGGAAGTACTCCAAGAGAGCAAGTGAAAGTAGCAATGTCTTTTATGATCTGGCCTCGGAAGTCAAACACTTTAACTTCTGGTGCAGTCCAATGGTCACATAGACCAAACTGATATACTACAGAAGTGGAATACCCAAAGGCATGACAAGCTCAGGATAAAAATCACTGAGGGCTATCCTTTTTTTTTTAGACTTTTATTTTTATTTTTTAATATTTTTATTGATTTCAGAGAGGAAGAGAGAGAGGGAGAGAGAGTTACAAACATCAACGATGAGAGAGAATCATTGATCAGCTGTCTTCTGCTCTCTCCCCGCCGCCACCCCCGCCCCCCCGCCCCCCGCCCCCTTGGCTCAGGATCGAGCCAGCAAGTCAGGCATGTGCCCTGACCAAGAATCAAACTGCAACCTCTTGGTTCATAGGTCAATGCTCAACCACTGAGCCACACCAGCCGGGCACTGAGGGCTATGTTATAGGTTGGCTGCCATAGCAGAATTTCTTTAAAAAGATACAAAATATGTGTACCAAGAAAGGAAGTAATTTATTCTTCTACATTAAAATTATGAACTTGTGTTCATTAAAACACTATCAAAATTTAAAAAGTAGAACCAAAATAATATATTTCAAATATTTGTAACTAACACAGTATTAATACAAAGAACATAAAATGGTCACAAATGAATTAGAAATACAAAAAATTGGGCAAAATATTTAAAAAGCATTTCACAGAAGAGGAATACCTAATCCAGTAAACATGTTTTATAGAGATGTTATGCTTCACTCTGTTATACCAGAAATTCAGTAAGCTAAACAGAAAATGCTGTAATCAGAGAGCCGAATTTGGAATCTTTATTTCAAAAGCTGGTAGCCGCGGAAGGACTTGGATCTCTCAAATTCTCGCGGCCCTGAATGAACTTAGGGGTTAGCTTATAAAGGCATAAAAACCCCGCGTGCTGGGATGGGGGCAGTGTGCTTAGCAGATATCTTGCAGAAAGCTTGTAGCCTTGAGCACAGCTCAGATAACCAGAAGTCACCTGGCATGGGAGGAACCAAGGACGGACCAGACCCCCACACCGGCAGAGCGGCTTACAGAACCAGATAATTAAGAGGGGCAGTGACTAGACTATAGGCTAACAAGGATGTTCATTAGGTTATTGGCACAGATTCAGATTGTTAGCCTCTCCCCAAAAATGTCTTATTTTCCCCATTATTCGAGCAAGCGTGCTTACAGAAGCTAGAAATAGCAGAGTTACTTCTATCAGGGAGGCTATCTGGTTTAGTCACTTCCTGGAATTAACAGAACAAAGGACCATCTGTGTTTAGTGAAAAAGTTTAAATGGAAGTTCTTACAAAATGGAGATTATGGGACCAAGATGGAGTGCCTATGGTTCAGATGGAGTGCGAGGGACAGGATGGTGTCAGTCCTTTCAAGGCCCATTGTTCAACTCTTAATTTGAGAACTGCAAGTAGGACCACAATAATGTGGGGCAAAAGTAGGTTTGTAGTTGTTTGTATGAAAAATAATACAATTATTAATAAATAATAATACAAGAGTAAACTCTGTGTTTCCTGTACTCACAACTGTAAACCTACGGCAAACATTTACACAATGCAATACTATGTAGCTGTAAAAAAAGAGAAGCTCTTACCCTTTGCAACAGCATGGGTGATGATTATGCAAAGCAAAATAAGCCAGTCAGAGAAAGACAAATATTACTTGATCTCGCATATATGTGGAATCTAATGAACAAAATAAACTGATGAACTAAGTAGGACCAGAGGCATGGATACATGGAACAGACTGATAGATCTCAGAGGGGATGGGGGTTGGGGACTGGAAGAGATGAACCAAAGAACATATATGCATAGTCCATGGACACAGACAATAATGTGATGAAGACCTGGGGTAGGGCAGGGGCTGGGAAGAGGGGGGCAAATGGAGGGGAATGGGGGACATTTGTAATAGTGTCAATAATAAAAATTATTTGCCCATAGGGTTTATTTCTGGACTCTCAGTTTTGTTCCATTGATCTGTGTGTCTGTTTTTCTGCCAATACCATGCTGTTTTGATTATGTCACTTTGTAGTATAATTTGAAGAAAGGGAGTGTGATACCTCCAGCTTTGTTATTTTTTCCCCTCGGGATTATTTTGGCTATTCATGGTCTTGGTGGTTCCATATAAATCTGATTTTTTTTTGTTCTATTTCTTTAAAAAATACCATTGGGATTTTTAGCTGAGGATTGCTTTAAATCTGTATATTCCTTTGGGCAATATGGACATATTAACTATGATGATTTTTTCAATCTAAAAAATCACTCATAGACGCAGACAACAGTATAGTGGTTACCAGAGGGAAAGGGCTGTGTTTCCTTAAGCCACTCTATACCTTTGAATTGCAGAATTTAGCCATTTATATTTAGAGTAATTATTGATAAGTAATGACTTGTTATCAGCATTTTGTTAATTGCT